TGAGGGATAGTATAGTAGGTAGGGTAGGTTAGTGAGACGAGGTGGTAGTGATGATGTGAGTGGAGTGTGGGTGGGGAGGTAGAGGTGTAGTGAGCGGAGGGTGAGGGTAGTGGGGTGAGGGTAGGTAGGGTATGTGAGTATAGTAGTGTGAGTGAGTGAGGTAGGACAGGGTAGTGAGTGAGTGATAATGATATGAGGGGTATATATATAGTATAGTGAGTGAGGTGAGGGTGAGTAGTGAGTGTAGTGTGAGTGTAGTGTGATGGTGGAGGTATAGTGGGGGTGAGTACGCGTGAGTAGGGTATGAGAGTGAGTGAGTAGTATAGTATAATAGGTGAGTAGTGAGTGAGTGAGTGGTAGGGTATGTAGTGGAGTGAGGGGGTAGTAGGTAGTAGGTGGATGATAGAGTGTGATGGGTGAGTTGTGTGGTGAGGTGGGTGGATTGTAGTGTGGTGGTGTATAGTGAGTGGAGAGCGGCGGGGGGTGAGGGTGAGTGAGGGTATACATATATATATATATATATATATATTATAGTGAGGTGATGAGGTGATATATAGGGGGTAGGGGTGGAGTGTAGGGGAGTAGGGTGGAGTGAGTGATGGAGTGGGGAAGTGGGAGGTGAGGGGTAGTAGGGTGAGGTGAGTGTAGGGGTGAGAGTAGTATAGTGAGGTAGTAGTGGAGCATAGGGGTATAGCAGGGTAGTATGAGGGTGTAGTAGGGATAGTGGATAATATATTAGTATATGACTGAGTAGGAGCTGCTCACGGTGGAGTGATATGAGTAGGGGTAGGGTATATAGTGTATATAGGTGTATAGTGATATATGTAAGGTGTGTGTGTTGCTGATGGTTTAAAGTTGAGTGGTATGTTGGTGTAGTATATGGGGTCTATGATATGATAGTTATATGATGAGTAGATGATGGAAGGTATATGATATTAATAGTAGTGAGTATATGAGTAGTTGATATATGATATTAGATATATACTATATATATATTATATAGTATATAGTTATATTATATGTATAGTATGTATGTATGTATGTATGTTTGTATATATGTATTATTTTTATAATATATAATATATATATATATATATATATATATATATATATATATATATATATATATATATATATATATATATATATATTATATATATATATATATATATATATATATATATATATATATATATATATATATAAGAAAGCCATAAGATCATAGTCCCTGCGAACAAGGTTTGCTCACAGCCTAAAATTAGGTAGCTCTATCTAACTATGTGCTTGAAATGAAACATGTGCCGCTCCTTAGAACAAGTCTGAGTAATTTGCAGCTCATGAGACTGAATTAGAAAAAGAAATGTCTCCTGAGAAGGCTCTTAGTGTAGTTTGTGCCATAATTTTCTCAAACGCCAAGCCCCCGGTATTTATCTTATGCATGGCACTGACCTGAGCCCGGGAGTGCCGAGGACAATTTTCCGTCCCTGTTTCACTTCGCTCTGAGCATCCTGATCCCGCTTCCGAACTTGCAAGAGCGATGTTCCTCCTTGGTTTCTAGAAAATCATTTTAGTCAGGACAACTTCTCGAGCCGAAGTTCTCTCATGCAGTCACGCCCCTGAAGGCTGCATGAAACCGCTTCATCAAAGATATCAGCCATAACTGGATCTTTGGAGAAGTTATTACAGTGAGTGGTACTTTGGCATGCATCCCACGCAGCACTGTAAGGCATTTTAGTTCAGATTTACTATGATCATGATGAACCTGCACTTATGCTTTGTCATCAGATATTCCTGTTACCATGAGCTGCAGTTTTCTTTGATATTAGAAAAATATTATCTCAGCACTGCTTTTATTAAATATGAAAATCAATCATCTTAAGGTATCACGTTCTTTGTCATCAAATATTCCAGATAATAATTGTATTTGTGCTTAGACAAGACATATTTTGGTTACCATGAACTACAGGCCCTTGTGATGGCAAGCTCAAACAACATAGGATTCTTTGATTACAGGCCCTTGTGATGGCAAGCTCAAACAACATAGGATTCTTTGACCATAAAATCACCTTAAAATGAGGATTTCCCTTGTGCTGACTCATGAGACGTCCCTGAGTTACCATGAACTGCAGCTCCATTTGACACAAAACAAAAATATCTCAACACAGCATTCTTAGACCATGAAAAACAAAAATCAATTATCTTCAAGACAAGGATTTCCAGACCGTCTGGAGCCACCGCATCAATAACTTGTAAGAAGTGGATCTCTTCCTAATACAGAGCAACACCTCTTGCCGAAGTGGGTCGATCCTTTCCCATCTTGCAAGAATATCCTGGGATCGAGGCCGGAGTCTGGGGAGTATTCTCTTGTCCCAAAAATCTCCAAGGGACACAAAACCAGCTAGAATTTTTGTCTTTTAATTAGATAAAATCGTCGAAGATAAGTGAATTGTGTTCGTTATCATAAAGGGGAGGTTGGAGGATGACTTGCAAATCACTTTTAATGGTAGAGATAAGGGTTCCGAACCATGGGACACCACGCATTGATATCGGTATATTTCTGATGATAATGAAAAAAAAGGAACTACATAAGAACTTTTCTTGATGTTATGAATTGTTAAAAAGAACTCGGCATGTGAACGGCGCACAGGTGGCTGGAGGAACACCTGTCACTGCCTGATCTCTTCTTGGTACATAATATTTAAGCGATAATGTCCTTCTAAAGCATAGTATTCGTGTTTTTTTCTGTAAATCTCTTGTCATTTATTTTCATTTACAAGAGATTTATTCATTGATGTTTAAGTGTTTCAAATAAATCCCACAAGGTATTCGCCGTCATAATATTTATGCAAGAATATTATACTTTTAAAGTGTAATATATATATATATATATATATATATATATATATATATATATATATATATATATATATATATATATATATATGTGTGTGGTGTGTGTGTGTGTGTGTGTGTGTGTGTGTGTGTGTGTGTGTGTGTGTGTGTGTGTGTGTGTGTGTGTGTGTGTGTGTGTGTGTGTGTGTGTGTGTGTGTGTGTGTGTGTGTGTGTGTGTGTGTGTGTGTGTATCTGTGTCTGTCTGTGTGCGTGTGCATGTATCTATCTATCTCTTTATCTATCTATATATAATATATATATATATATATATATATATATATATATATATATATATATTATATATATATATGTGTGTGTGTGTGTGTGTGTGTGTGTGTGTGTGTGTGTGTGTGTGTGTGTGTTGTATTGCTATTTATTCTTACTTAAAAGAGACTTTGTTTACCGATAGACTTTTAAATGTTTTAAATATTTTATGTTTTTAATCACACAAGGTTTTCGCCGCAAATGACCTTAGCTTTTGACGCGTCGGATAAGTTTCAATAATCTGCGTATCAGTTTCGATTCCCGTTTCAGCTCCGTCGAGAGTGTTGTCTGTTGCTTTTGCTTTTCACTGAAGTTCCTGAAGTTGAGGTTTTGTTTTTAATTTTGTTGAAGGAGATTTGACGTTTTTTTTTTTTTTTTACTTTTCTTGTTTTCTTTTCTTTTTATTTTATTTGACGCATCTGATAATTTTTTTTCTCTCTCTCTCTCTTTTTCTTTTTTTAAATTTATTTGACGCGCCGATTTTTTTTCTTTTCTTTTCTTTCTCTCTCTCTCTTTTTTTTGACGCTCCCGATAACCTATTTTTTCTCTCTCTTTCTTTTCTTTTCTTATTTTATTTGACGCGCGTGATAACCTTTTTTCATATTTTTTACTTATTTTATTTTTTATTTTATTATTATTTTTACTTGAAGGTAGTTAGACAGTTTCTTTCATTTATGTATTATAATCTTTTCGGTTATTTAGAGTTCATTTTTCACCTTATTTTTCCTATTTTGTCTCAAAATGCGCAGAAATGAGTAAAGACACCCAAGTTTAGGAGGAATGAGAGTGTGAGTGTTAGATAAACGGTTCATATTGTGCCGCTCTCTATCTCTCTCTCTATCTATCTATTTACCTATCTAACTATATATTTATTTATTTATCTATCTATATTTCTATGTGTCTATCTCTCTAACTCACTCTCGTTTTATATATATATCTATTTATCAATTTATCTATCTATCTATCTCTCTATCTCCAACTCACTCACTCTCTCTCTCTCTCTCTCTATCTATCAACCTACCTATCTATCTGCCTGTCTGTCTGTATCTGTCTATCTATCTATTTATGTACTTATCTCTCTCTCTCTCTTTCTCAAACTCACTCACTCACTCCCTCTCTCTCTATCTAATTATCTATCTATCTTTCTATGTATCTATCTCTGTCTCTCTAACTTACTCACTCTCTCTCTCTCTCGTTTTATATCTCTATCTCTATCAATCTACTATCTATCTCTCTCTCTCTCTCTCTCTCTCTCTCTCTCTCTCTCTCTCTCTCTCTCTCTCTCTCTCTCTCTCTCTCTCTCTCTCTCTCTCTTTCTCTCTCTCTCTCTCTCTCTCTCTCTATATATATATATATATATATATATATATATATATATATATATATATATCTTTCTATGTATCTATCTCTGTCTCTCTAACTCACTCTCTTTCTCTTTTTCTCTCTTTCTCTCTCCTTCGTCTGCCTTTTCATCTCTTTTCTACCCCTTCCTCATCCTGTCTCCCGCCCCGCCACGGTCAGGACTAGATCGCGCGGATATTTCAAAATACATCTGCATAATGACCTCCTTTGTAATATCATGAACCTTCGGGCATATTCGTGGCATTCTTTATCACTCGCGACTGAAGAGTTTGGTTTTAAAGTTATCCCGCCTCGGGCCATTTGAATTCGGCATACCCCTCCCCCCCCCCCCCCCCTACTCCCGAATTTTGCATTTTCCCACGTCTTTTGTAGAGGGCGGAGAACAGAGGACATGTCAGGACACGTTTCATTATGTTTAGGGGGTGGGGGGGTGGGGGGGGGGGGGAGTCAGATGGTATGACATTTTAAAACGGAGCTTAATATGTCCCTGCTTCAATATTGCGTGAGTAAATACGTACCTTTATTGTATATCACGAAGGTTGAAATCACATTTTCATATATGCAAATGTTATTAGTCAATTCTGTCCAAATTGTTACATATGATTTTTTTTTCTCTCTCCTGTTTGTATGTGAGTTTGCGTTTTCTAATTGAGTTAAGGTGTGTGGAATGTAACGCTGCTTGTCACTAGTATTTAAGTCAGTCCTTAATCAGCTGATTTCCTCACATAAACAAACAGGTAATCATTTCAGAAACGCAGATTCACACCTCAATGTCTAAAAATCACAAGTAAAGGTAACAAATTTAGTGAAAACTCTGCTAAACGCTTTAACATGACTCTCAGACGACGGCAGAATTCTTGAGAACTTAGAACGTAAGAACATGAAAATAATAGCAAAGGACTATGACAAACGACGTCAAGGAGCATATAAGGTGGTAAAAACGAGGCAAAGTAGATAATGCATCTATCGACCCGAGGTTCTGTTGACCCCTGACATCCCGTGACCTCATTAATCAGCCTGACCTTAAGAGTAATACAGGAAGGAAGGAAGAACATATAATATTGCAAAACTTTTAATGATGTTTAGATTTTTTGCTAATGATAAAATTATTTTCACCCTTTATAGCCATCAAGTCACATAAATCTTTTTTTAATTAAAACTATTTTTTCAATCTATTTACCTATCAAGTCACTTTCAGAAAAAATATTTTTCATTCTTTATACCTAATCTCTTTCCACCTGAAACTCTCTTTACTCATTCATATTCATCCACATAATCTTATATCCACTTTAAACTCTTTTTTTCAGCACTTTATATACACTTTCTTTTTCCTCTCTATCAAATCACATTTCAAATAATCCTCTATCCACTGTATACATTTTCTTTCAAACTATTTATACACTTTCTTTTCTCTCTATCAAATCACATAATCTGTTTTTCTTCGATCCAACTGCTCTCTAGTAATCTTTAATTATTTTCCACTCCAGGTACCGATTTCTGGGGGCTGATCAACCCCGACTGGAGCCTCTGCAGCAAAGGTCGCCGCCAGTCACCCATTGACATTGACCCCGCAAGACTTTTGTATGACCCGAATCTGAGACTACTCCATATTGATAAGCACAGGGTGAGTACTTGCTGCAAATTCGTTCTTTTATTCTCTTCTTATTCTCTCTCTTTTTCTTTATTCTCTTCTCTCTCTCTCTCTCCTCTCTCTCTCTCTCTCTTTCTCTTATCTCTCTCTCTCTCTCTCTCTCTCTCTCTCTCTCTCTCTCTCTCTCTCCTTCTCCTCTCTCTCTCCTTCTCTCTCACTCTCTCTTCTTTCATCTTTCATGGGTTGGTGATATATTATTCTAAGCAAAAGGAATATATGGAATATTCGGAGTAAGTTGGTGGATAGATGCATAGGTCTAATAGTTCGGCCATAAATAGAAGTGTTTAGAGATATCTCGAAAAAAAGTTCAATTAGGATTCCAGTATTTGAAGTCATTTATAATTCTACACTTTGCCTTCTCACTTCATCTCTCAACTCTCTTTACTCTCTGTCTCTTCCTCAAATCCGTCCCTATCTTATCCTCTCTCTTCCTCTTCTCCTTCTCTCTCTCTTCTCTCTCTCCTCCTCTTCCTCATTTCTATCTTCTCCTCTCCTCTTCCTCCTCTTTCTCTCCTCTCTTTCTTCTTCTCTCCTTCTCCCTCTTTTCTCTTTCTCTCTCTCTTCTCTCTCTCTCTCTCTCTCTCTTCTCTCTCTCCTCTGCTCTCTCTCTCTCCTCTTCCTCTCCCTCTCTCTCTCTCTCTCCTCCTCCTCTCTCTCTCTCCTCTTCTCTCTCTCCTCTCTCCCTCTCTCTCTCACTCTTCCAGGTAATTCGGGGTCTTCCTCACAGGTCTATTCTCTACGGCTAAAAAGGTGCCCTGAAACGTCCTCCTCTCCTCCTCCTCATTTTCTTCATCTTCTTATCCCCCTTCTTCTCCTCCTTCATCATCTTTTCTATCCTTCTCCTCTCCTCTTGCTCCCCCCTCCCCTCCTTTTCTCTTTTTTCTCCTCCTTCCTCCTCGTCCTCCTCCCTCTCTTCTTCTTCCTCTCCTCATTTTATTCCTTTCTTTTCCCATTCATCCCCTCCACTTCCTCTCCTCTCCTTTTTCTTTTTCTTCTTCCTCCACCACACCTCCTCCTCCTCCTCATTTTCATTCTTCTTCTTCCCCTTTCATCTCCTCCTCCTCTCCTCATTTCTATCCTTCTCCTCTTCCTCTTGCTCCCCCCCCCCTCCTTTCTTCCTTTTTTCCTCCTTCCCCTCGTCCCATCCCTCTCTTCTTCTTCTCTCTTCCTCCTTTTATTCCTTCTTTTCCTATTCATCCCCCTCCTCTCCTTTTTCTTTTTCTTCTTCCTCCACCACCTCCTCTCCTCTTCATCCCCCCTCTTCCTTTTCCTCTTCCTCTCCCTCCCTCCTCCTCTTCTTCTCTCTTCCTCTTCTCCCCCTCCCCCTCTCCTCCTCCTCTTCCAACCACAGGTATCGGGTCTCCTGGAGAACTCGGGTCACAGCGTGGTATTCACCCTGGACGGCGGGAAGGTGCCGCTGAACGTAACAGGCGGGCCGCTCTCCTACCGCTACCAGCTCACCGAAGCTCACCTCCGCTACGGCAACGCGGATCTGCAGGGCTCCGAGCACACCATCAACGGCAAAGCTTTCCCGGCGGAGGTAAGAGGTGGGGGTGGGGTGTAAGGAAGTGTGTGTGTGGGGGAGGGTTCAGGTGTGCGTGTGTGGAGGGGTAGGGTGTGGGTGTGTAGGGTGTGTTGTAGGGGGATGGGTGCGTGGGTGTGTAGGGTGTGTGCGTGTTTATTTGGGTTTGGGTGGAGGTATGTGTGTGTGTGTGTGTGTGTGTGTGTGTGTGTCTGTGTGTGTGTGCGTGTGCGCGGTGTGCTTATGCATACGTCAGTTTATTGGCTTTCTTATACCTCACCACAGCCCTGTAAGTTCAGATATTTTTGTCCACAAACTTTTTTTTATCCTGCTTGCTTTTCGATATCCTCGCCTGCCTTAATTCACTTGCTATCCTATTTTTATTTCCCCTAATTCCGGTTCCTGTTCTGTAGCCGAAACGCAACCTCGCCGTCACGGGAATTAGACCCTGAACTATGATCGAGTGGCGGCCGCTCTCTCTACATTACCCTGTGACACGTTAGGCATTTGGTCCTCGTAGCTTCGGCTCACTTTTCGGTTGTTTTGTACTGGAATCTAAGCCTAGTGAACACGCCTTAGAAGTACCCGGACGGAAGACTGACGGCCGGCCTTCGAGGGAGCGTGGACGGTGTCGAAGAGGCCGTCGCTGGGGATTCGCAAATCGGCAATCAGTCGATCAGTGCGAAGTGTCGGTCGGGATGAACGATAGAGATAATCGCTGCTCTTACGGTCGATGCTTCTCTATTCATATGTATATATAATATATATAATATATATATATATATATATATATATATATATATATATATATATATATATTATATATATATATATATATATATATATATACATATATATATATATATATATATATATATATAATATATATATATATATATATATATATATATATATATATATATATATATATATATATATATATATATATTATATATATATATATATATATATATATATATATATATATATATATATATATATATATATATATATATATATTAATATATATATATATATATATATATATATATATATATATATATATATATATATATATATATATATATATATATATATATAATATATATATATATATATATATATATATATATATATATTATATATATATATATATATATATATATATATATATATATATATATATATATATATATATATATATATATATGTATATATATATATATATATATAATATATATATATATATATATATATATATATATTATATATATATATATATATTATATATATATATATATATAATATATATATATATTATATATATATATATATATATATATATATATATATATATATATAATATATATATATATATATATATATATATATATATGTATGTATGTATGCACACTAACAATAATCATGATAATGAGGATAATCATAGTAATGATAATAAGGACGATAATGATGATAACAATAGACAATAATAAAAACAACGACAATGAATATAACAATGATAATGGTAATAATAACAAAATAATAGTGATAATGATGATAATAATAAAAAAATAGTGGTAATGATGATAATAATAATAGTATCAATAATAAAAAATAATAATGATAATAACAATGATAACAATGATGAAAATAATCATAAAGATGATGATGGATATAATGATAATGAAAATAGTGATAATAATATTGTAAATGGTAATGATAATTGATATTAATAATAACAGCAATAATAACGATATTAATAACAACATCAATAGTAACCGTATTGATAATCATCATCCTAAAGATATGTAAAACAATGATAACAATGATTGTTTTATTAACGATGAAAGGAACTGGTTTACTAAACACATTCCAAACTTACTCGCCATGCCTCTGACAAGGACCTTACCCTTAGAACAACCCTTTCATGCACCAAGATCAGCATTGACGACCCACCCCACCCCACCCCCACCACACTCACAGAAAAAAAGCCTCACTCGCGGGGACGAGCAACAGAGCGTCAACATCAGACATTGCAACAAAACCACAATTTCATCTCCGCAATTATTGCTTCGCGTTGGGGTGATATAGCCGCGAGGTTATTGCTCTGAAATGAGTATAAAATATTTTCCATTTTTGCAATACCGTTTCAAGTGGTTTGAATCAGCGATCACAGCCGGCGTATAAATGTTTGTTTGTCATAATCTTATCT